GAAACTTCTCCTTGGGCCCCTTCTTCCCCTTCTTCCTCACCAACCATCAGCACCGCTCTGCCTCTCCAGCACAGCTCTTCTCCCCTAAGTGCTCCTCTGCTCAGGTGTTCTATCAGTTCTTTCATCCCTCTAATGGCTCCTTGGCTGGGTTTGGAGCAGGGGGAGCCTCTCAGCTTCTTACTGGAGCCACTCCTTCCCCTGTTACCAAAAAACCCACCAAACCAAACCAGAACACAAGTTTATATTGCAAGTTTATTACAGTAATACAATTAGATAAAATTATTTTCACAACTAATATACCTAATTATATCAGGGTATGTATATTATTATTGTATATTATATGTGTATTATTATGTATATTATATGTATATTTTATTCCCAGCAGGTTACAATTTTTTTATCTTTAAACATGCAGTGAATAATGTACATACACAATTATATGCTAGGTTTTCCTTTTCCCTAAAAAAGAAAACCGATATTGCAAAAATATGACTTTATAAGAAAGTTGTATCGTACAATGAATACTCATTTATATTTGGGCATAGCAATATTCAGTCTTAATCAGTGATCATGCTGTTCCCAAAAAAGCCAGAGGAACTGGGAACAGGGGAATGCCCATCAGTATTTGAGAGATGGAAAATATGTATTTCTATACATTCAAAGTACAAAAAATATGAAAAATCTTCTCAGGGTTTAAGCATCACATCTATTTATATGTTGAAGTCGGAGTTATGGAGTCTTGAAGGATGCATGTGCACAAAATGTTTCTGTTTTCCTGTAGATCAACAGACATTGGGAGTGATGCAATTGACTTAAAAAGCATTACTTCACGTGTAAAGAGCTGTAACTGGGTCAGAATCTGGCCCGTCCTTCCTGCTTATGTTGCTGCAGAAATAGACAGAAGCATAGGGTTAGGAAGTCATAGATGGCTGAATTTTGTTGGCAGCCCAGAGACAAATAAGATTAAGATGCATGTTTAATAAATTTTATTTAAATAAACAAAAAAAAGTATTAGAGAATAAAATGTGGCCACTATTACAAACCCATTGGTGGATGATCATGGCTGCTGGCAAGCAGAAGCCCATGTAGATGTGTAGGGTAAATCACTTGTTTCCAGAGCAAAGCTTCTGCTTTTTTACACAAGAAGAAATGTCCTTACCTGTTAGCAGCACAGAGTTTGGGACATACACTTGTCTCATGCAAAGGCTGCTTTCTTAAGACATTGATCACTGGTGTGTCACGAGTACTCTAAGTCAGTCAGTTATGGGTTTTACCAGGAGAGGGCAGACTGAGACACAGACATACAGCTGCTCAAGTGGGCCCACGTTTACACGTACACATACATTTACACATGCCAAGTCATGTGCTCTGCTCACTGAAGTGATGCTCATTGAAACTGAAGTCACATACATACAAACGGAACTCAGATCCTTACAATTCTGCTCCTCAACACTGAAATAAAAATATGTAACTTGCAGAGCCAACATGTAATACAAAAATTAGCAATGACTTTACCCTCTCCCTTTTCTCTTTCACTTTTATTCTTTTTCTCAAGTTCAGAAATATAGAAAGTGTAGTCTTAACCACACTTACTCAGTATGTACATATACAAAATGTAAACATCACTACACAACACCTAAGCACCCTTTTTGATTAACAAAGTCACTAACATATTTGTCATGCAAGCATAGGGATTTTTCAAGACTACAGACTTTCAGGTTGTGGGAAGTGTGGAAAACAGTTACTTTCCTAATGATCTAGCTTTGAAAGAACGGGGGGGAAAATCAACAGAGGTGGTGGCTGAGGTAGATTTGGCTGTATCTGATATAATTTGACTGTACTGAGCTGAAAGACAAATGGGCTCTCAAACCAAAAGGCAGGTCACTGCAAGATAAGCAAACCAGGTTCAACCAGAAATTTCCTCCACTCTAACAGAAGGACACCCCATCCTGCACTCGTATCACTACAGGTGATGGAAAAATGCATCATCACAATGGCCCTAAACTCCGGCCCAGCAGGACAGCACATGGAGGTCAGATGCTCAGCAGCTGAGGGCTATTCAGTGCTTGATCTCTTGACAAAATGGTCAGGAAAAGGAGGAATGAGAAGGCTGTGGACTAATCTTTCCAATGCAAGTAGCTGCGTGTTGCACACTGGGGCTAGCACAGTAGAGTTTTTGCATGTTGGCCAAACACAGGCCAGCAGCTTTCTTCCAGGCTGTGGTCCCAGATGCAGACATGCCCCAGAATTTGAGTTTCTTGAGCAGCTGCTGAGAATCCATATCGGATCTTCTCTCTGGGCTGGTGGATAGAGGGTAGCCTCCCACGTGGACAAGTGCATGCACACAAAGCATCCTACTGCCTGCTGCAAATCCACCCATGAAGCCTGAAGTGCCTGAACTCTGACTTTTGCAGCGATCCACAACTAGTACAAGAGATTCCTGCACCATTTTAGACTCACTTGCTCCCAGTGGATTGCTCTGGTTCCCTGAGTACAGCCCCCTGCCTTATTAGAAAATGCTACCTCATTAATGCCAATAATTCCTACCTGCCTCCTTTCATTTGTAAGTCAAACAGGCTTCCCCTCACTCCTGTGTTTTCTGAAATTCTTTATGCACTGAAACTCTTGTGGTTTTGAGACAGTGCAATAACACCTGATTATTTCCCTTCCCTCCTTCCCTGGGAGGCTCCAGGAGCCTCAATACTATTATAATAATATCCATCACCAGCCTCCCCTGCCTCTCGCCTACCAACAGCCAGATGAGATACTGCATTGTTGCTGGGGACAAACCCAGTCCTGCTTCTCTAGACTCCAGAGGTACTACAGGGGCTATGCTCTTTTCATCAGCCTTGGGCAGCAAGTGCCTGCTTTGTCCTCTGCCTCCACATTTCTGGGAACTGTCAGGGCTGGGGAGCTTCAAGGTTTGGCAGAAGCCACCGCTTATAATGCAAATCTGCCTTGGGCTTTGCTTTGCTTCCCAAGCTGTGACAGCCTCTGCTTGCCAAGGAGGCTGCCAAATGAGCAAACTTGCTGCAAAACCCTCTTCAGGATTGACCCTGAATTTCTCTGCTATCATTCCTACCCTCCCTCATGACACAAGGAGGAATGGGGAAAGACAGGCAAGTCCCCAGAGACAGGGGTGGAAGGACACTGCAGCACCAGGGTTGTGGGATTTCTTTTAGGTCTGGGCTGACATTTTCTCCATCTCACATGCATTCCTGTATCTTCACCCAGCACAGAGCAGGCAGCATCAATACAGAGGTGCTTCCATGGCACACAGGCAGGGATATCCAGAATGAGCATCCTGGTGTTTCCAAAAGGATGTTCCAGCTGGCTATGCCTGGCATGTTGTACAGCCTTGCAGGAAATCCCCACTCTGCTATGGCAGGCATTGCCAGTGTCCTGGCACACATGAGGTACCCTGCACACAGGGAAACTGAGCAGAAGTGTTCCCCTATGCTGATGGAAAAAGGGTGCAGCTCCAGTACAGCTGCCGTGGCACGGGCAGGGAATTGGCCAGATGAGACACGAGCCATTTCTGCATGAAGCAGGTATCCTATTAAGTGAGATGTGAATGTGTATCCTTTCTCAGCCAGAGCCTTGCAAAAGGGAGTTTGTGCCCTACAGCCTTTAGCTCCAAATTTATTTAAAGAGATATCTTCACCTCTCTTCAGTACAGATCTGGGAAAACGGGTTATGCTACTTTAGCAGAGCAGAGGATTTACGCTTACAAAGAGTGGAGAAAAATGGCACTGAAAATAAAGGATGTCTCCCAAAGGAAGATAAGATCCTGCCACTGCTCCATTGATGCTGAGCACAAATGGGAGAGCAGGACCAGTATCTTGATCAGACAGAGCTCTGTCTGGGCTCTGCCTAGGCAGTGAAGCAGAGCTCCCCAGGGCATCCCCAGCCCTGCTTTCTGCAAACACACCCTGCCTGCAGTCCTGGGGGCAGTCAATGGGAACTTTTTGTAATTTCCAGGATCAGGCCCTCTGTCTCAACCTGGCTGGCAAAAACACTCTGATAAGTGACAACATTTAACAGCAGAAGATCATACCCCAGGTTAGGATAACTAGAAAATGCTCTGAAACACACTGGGAAATTAAGTTAGTGAGCTACATCTCTTATGGAGATAGATTCAGCCCTAAAACTCAAGTCAAGAAGAAATAATGTCACTTACAAAGGAAAAGTCTTCCACTGGTCTTGCTCTGATTTCCATTATTACACTGTGCAGCAGGGAAAATGGTTCCTTTCGCACAGCACAAATCTGTAGAGGCATCAGTACTGGGAATGCCTTCAACTCCCCCCACTCCAGGATGAGACAGGATGCTGTCAGCAGTTATCTATTAGCCAGCCTCTATGCCCCTCACCAGGTACACTCACTGCCCCACTTCGAATTCATGTCATCTGTGCTACAACCCACAGTTGTAAAGTAACTCAGTAAAATCAAGTATCCTGCAGAGCTGCAGGATACTTCTGTGTCCTTTCAGCATCAACCATAGACTTTTTTTTTTGCTTATTACTAGATGATGCTGGATCATTTTTAGAAAGGAAACCTGACATTCGAACCCTGTTGGTATGGGATGGTATTTCTCCCAGTTCTCAAAGAACACAGTCCCTTACTTACACCGTTTGAAAATCCCACAGGGCACATAGTTGTAGTTCCTTTTTACCGAGGCACATCACAGAGAATACAGTTATCATATTGGGAATTCAGATACACTGATACCAGCTGACAGCTAAGAAACCGAACATAATGCAGTCTTGACTACAGTTAACACTTCACATGCACAACAAAACAGAACACAAAGAAGGCTTTTGCCTTTAAAAGTGCTGTGCCTGCAATCAATTAGAAAAGACATTTAAAATCTTGTCACAAAATACTGGATTTTCCAGCATAGCCTTATAGGTTAAATACTAAAACCACACTAAAATGCAGAGGGTGGTGAATGACCAGCTGCCCTAAGCTGCCTTTGAAAATCCAAGACCCACAAATAAAGTCAAGGAAAAACATTTACCACATTTTTTGTTGGTAGCTTTTTGCCATAGAATGGTAAGGGCTTTAGTGCCTGAGGTATAGGTAGTTCCTGGATGCTATTAGGAAAGTGGCATGGGGGAAGAGTCTGGAGAATAGTTTGCATAGCTTGCAGATATAAAGAAGCAGGTGTGTTCCCCACAAGGCTGTTGAATTTGTCTTCCCCCAGCAAAGCTGTCCAGTGGACTGGATGCTCCTGCAGAACTTTCCGCATCTTAAACTGTGGGTTGGGCATGAAGAGCAAGAGGTAGTCGAGGCAGAGCTTCTTTGATGCCACATTGACTTTGGAGTCCCACATCTGCTCCAGGATGACATCCAGTGGGGTAAGCCCTTTACTGTCCTCTATCCTGGGAGAAGCACCATTCCCAAGGAGGATGAGGACTGTCTCTGACCTCAGCAGTTCGCAGGCAAGGTGCAGGGGAGTTTTCCCATCTTCCAGGTGAAAGCAGCCAGTCCTATTGATATAAGAGTTCAAGCTGGGGAGCTTGTGTGCAATTTTGATGATCAGTCCCAAGATATCTCTCCTGTCATATGTGACTGCCATGGCTAAGTGAGGAGCAGAGGATGGGCAATAGCAGAAGTGTTCCCCAGGCACCTTGAGAGCCTCCTCTGGAAAATGAGACAGCAGATACTGAGCATAAGGCAGGTGATTATGCACCACTGCATAGAGGAGGGCTTCTGAAGGTGAGTAGGTTCTTAGGCTGGTATTTTCCTCCCAGTAAAAATACTCCATAGTCCTCATGTCTTCCAGCACCCACACAGGCTTGTGATCTCTTACTGCCTGGTAGAACATATACGACAAGAACTTGCAGTGCCTGCCCTGATCATCCTGCAGGCTGGCCTGGTTACTGGCCATGGCTGAGCAGATGAAGAACAGCTCCACGTAAAAATCACTCCAGACTGCAAGATCTGTGCACTTGTAATGCAGATCCCGATGCTGCTGCAACCTTCAGGCTGTCATTGCTGCCTGGACTGCACTAGCTGGAATGCATGGGCTGATCATCTCCACCCATTCATTATTTTTCACCTCACTGCAGTGTTTTTGTTTAGGTAAGCACAATCCCACAGGCTCAGTTAACCCATGCCATTCAAGTAGATGGTTAGTAAGTACATCCCGCTCTGTGCATAGCACAGGTTACTGGAACGTTGTCAGGCTGCCAGTGATCTTCTACACACACAGCTAGAGAGAAGAGAGGGAGAGACTAAAATTAGCTTGAGAGGTGAGGCAGATTTCTGGCTGCATTTTGTGTCTAACAAGATCAGCTCACACACTGCAGTAAGTGCAATAGCAATATTAATCTGTTTTTTGTGTCACACACATGTGGATTATTCCAGATTAAAAAATTTGTAGCAATGTAAAATGGTCCACAGCTGATAATAACACATAATTATATGCTTGGGAAATGAAGGGATTGGTAACCACAGCAGTAGGAAGGTATCCCTAGTTTATAAATAATGGTATGGCTAGCCACTTAAGAGACACTGATGTTAATGGATTATCTGTAAGGCATTAGTGATGTTCAAGATCCTAACGTAAAAAGAAAAGAGTTGAACGGCATGTGTAGTAACCATGCCCACAGTCATAAAACATATTGCTCCGTTTAAACGCCTGCTGTTGTTCAGCAAGAAAGTATCTTAGATGTGTCTCTATGGCACAGCAGGTACATAAACAAAAGGTTAATGACCAAAACCCACTGGTGAGTGGAGAGCTTTGATCTAAGCAGTTCTCAGATGTGATGCTCCAGGACTGTGGTCAGACTCAGTTGCAGTGGGAGGAAGTGGGATTAAACAGACTTGTGCAATGCCCCAGTAAAACAGGGAGGACCAAGGCTTGCAGGGGTAATGCCTTTTGGATAAGGAAGAAGAACCTGACCAAAATTAACTTCACAGAAAAAAATTAACAATGCAACCATTATGGCAATTTCTGCTTAAGGAAGGAGGGCTTCCATGCATCTTATGAATCAGCAGATTGCAGTAAAATGGCATCTCACCATCTTGATAGTAAAACAGGGAAAAAATGGCAAATTAATAATTATTTATTTATTTCTTTAGCAAGAAGACAAGCATATATTCAGCATATTCAAACTAGAGAGCATTCAAATATCAGTATCATCTCCAAATTATGTCTGGGTTCATCCAAAGAGAAAATCAAAGCCATTCACAAAACTGGGTCTAGATCTGGCACATCTTCTGAAGTTCTGGATGTTCAAGTCCATTTCCTAAATATTTATTTTCAGGGCCAATTTCCATACAGTTGGAATAAACGAGTGTATCCTCAGCAAGCTTGCTGATTATATGAAACTGGGAGGATTGGCTGATTCATGGGAAGGCTGTGTGGCCATTTAACAAGATTTGGACCGACTGGAGAGCTGGGCAAAGAGGAACCTAATGAGGTTTAACAAGAGCAAATGCAGAGTCCTGTACCTGGGAAGGAAAAACAACACGCACTGATATAGCTTAGGACCTGACCTGACAGAAAGAAGCTCTGTGGAGAAAAGCCTTGGAGTCCTTGTGGCCAACAAGTTATCCATGGGACAGCAATGACCCCTTGTGGCCAAGAAGGCAAATGGTATCCTGGGATGCATTAAGAAGAGTGTGTCCTGCAGGTCAAGAGAGGTTTCTCCTCCTCCTCTGCCCTAGTGAGACGACATCTGGAGTATTGTGTCCGGTTCTGGGCTTCTCAGTTCAAGAGGGATAGGGATCTACTTGAGACAGTCCAACAACGGGCTACAAGGATGATTAAGGGACTGGAACTGTCTTATGAGGAAAGGCTAAGAGACCTGGGGCTGTTTAGTCTAGAGAAGACTGAGAGAGGCTCTTATTAATATATATTTTAAAATATATTATTTTTAAAAGATATATATTTATTTTTTTATTAATGTATAATCAAGACTCATCTGTGTGATCTGCCCTAGCAAGAGGGTTGGACTTGATCATCTTCAGAGGTCCTTTCCAACCCCTATGATTCTATGGTTCTATGATTCTCTTTTAACAAAAATGCAGGCTAGAAGGTGAGCAGAATCAGTTTTGACTTACAGAGTTCAAGGGAGCAGGAAGAGTTTTGAAGGATGAAACAAAAATACAAGTTGATTTTACCCCAAATATTTACCATTTCAGCTGAGACTAAGAGGCTCTT